CTTCAGTGTGATAGTTTGGGGAGCTGTTTGGGTTGGTGGGAGATCGAGCTTAGTGGAGTGCGTTGCCAACATAAAGTTTGCAAAATACGTCGAAATATTGTAGGAAGGACTCTTGCCACTTTATTCCTCGGGTTTCGTGGACAAGAACACAACGTTGTTCCAGGAAGAAACACCCAAAAGTGGCAGGAAGAAAATAATATCCAGAAGTTGCCTTGGCCAAGCCAATCTCCTGACATGAACCCCGTCAAAAACCTCTGGGCCATACTCGACCGGCAAGTCAAGAAACAACCAAAAAACCAACTTTTGAAGAGTGATCTACTCCATGTTTTGAAGCATGTTTTTAAAATTGACGAGGTGATTCTCACGATGCCCCAAAGGACCAACGAACTCCACGAAACAAAAGGAAGATCTACTAGATATTAATTAAATTATAAATATATCAACTCATGTGAATATGACTGAAAATTTTCATTTTTTCTGAAAAGGTGGTGTCTATTTACTTGTGACCACGCTGTGCATATATACTTGTTCATGAATTACTGAAGTGACACTTTTCATCTTCACATATAAATGCATAATCAAATGTTTATATCATTTAGTATTGATTAATATACTGAACATTATAATTCTAGTTGAAACTTGTATCTTTCTAAGCTAAGTAAAGGTATGATAATTAGTGTGTTTGATTCACAACAAATCTTTCAGAAGCTTAAAAAGTTTTAGTTGTTAATCTTGTACTCGTTTAAATTATTAGTCACCAGACATCATGGAACTGGGAAGTCGAGCACCAACCTTCATCAAACAGGATTCAGTAAGTCACTGTATGGTGTGTGGTAGCCAGTTCAGCACTTTTTCCCTAAAAAGAAAACATCACTGTCGAGCCTGTGGAATAGTAAGTCTTTGAACAACTGAATCTGTTTTTCATTTGCTCTTAAGTTACCTTAACAATCAGTTTGTGATTCCTGTGTGCATGAGGCAAAAAGGATGACAACATTAGCTTCAACTAGCTTAACACAATATAGATACCCTTTGGTGTAATGGGAACTGTTTATTTAAACATTATACATAAAATAAGGCACAATTCATATAATCTCAACAAGTTACATATTTATGCCAAATGTTAAGAACAATGTTTTATAATTCCACATTATAAATTAATATAGCCAACTTGTTAGAATTACAAATAACAGGCACTTATAAATTACAATTTACATTGTGAACAAAACAGTTTGTCATTGATTCCTATAGTAACTGGTGGATTCATATTAATGTATTTAGGTATAGTTTGATTCTGTAAATGCTGTCCTGTCTTTTTCATTTAGTTTTCTGAGTAGTTTGAAAGTCTTGCTAGTTAGATCAGAGTGCACTTGGGCAGCTGTGTTGGAGGAAGTGTTTATTTCAAGAATAATTTAGGGTTTTGCTTTGTGACAGGGAGAAGGTTCAGGGTCTGTTAGGTTTATAAAGTCATCAGGTTTAGGGCGTTATGCAAGGTTGTTGGGTGATGATTTTCTTCTAAGGTTGTAAAAGATTCTACATATGGAAGAAGAAAAGCCTCAGAGATTGTGGAGTTTGGAAGGTTGTCTAAATATGGTGTTCCTAGCTGGTTGCTAGGAATAAAAGTGGAAGCCTCAAAATGTCCATAACTACTGCATTTAGGAGAAAGGGAAGTAATGGTAGAAAAGGGCTTTGTAAGTGTAGAAATGTGTAGTATCAGAGTTTATGAATGGTGTGGGATCTTGGGGTTGTGTGTCAAGTTTAGAGCTTAGGGAGAAGTTTCTATAAACAGGAGTGGAAGCCATAACTTCTGCATAAGTGCAACATTTAGAAGAATGGGCATATCTAGTTCTGGGAAAGGCAGTGATAGAAATGGGATTTGGAAGTGTATTGGACGTATGGCATACAGATATATGCTCATTGGATTGAGAAGGCTTTGTGGATTGGATATGGGGAATAGAGTAGGTTGAAGGAGATTCATGGCTAGGAGTGTTTGATTGATCTAGGTTAGATTGTTCTGTGGTTGTTTGTAGGCAAGGGAGAATATAGTTAGTGATAAAGAATCGTAAATTACAGGGTAGAGAAGCAATTCCTTTGAAAGAAAGTTGTAAACCATCTTTTGCTAAGAAATGTCCTGTTTTCAAGTTTAAAGTTGGTGTTGTAAAGGAAGGATAAGCGTGAGTTATGTTGGCAGAGGTCATATACGAGAGCATTAAATTTGTCAATTTTTTGGTATAAAGAGTCAGTAGTGCAGGTCTGTTATCTTAGACGTAAATCAGTATGTCTATTGACATCACAGTAGATGATGCTAGAAAAACAAACAGGAAGGTCAGTATGGTGAGTCAAAATATGTACTAGTAAGGTTTGTAGGTCGTTAAAACAGTCATAAGCCATTATTCCATGTCATTTTAGGTCATTAGTTTCAACATGGAGAATTAAGTATTTTACAGACTGTGGCAGTAAAGTTACAGTGTCAAAGAGGTCAAGTAAGGTGGCTCCACTGATTTATTTAATTAAAATATGTTGGTCGTTAATGTGAGAAATGTGTTGATGGAGGAATTAAATAATAGAATCTCAAAAATATCAATGTAAGGTGAAAGAAGAGGTAGCTTGCCTTCAATAAACTGGGGTCCATGGGTGGAATATAAATTCTGTTTTAGAAGTTAGTACACAGGATCACATACAAAAGTTGTAATGGTTTTCAAATGAGACCCAAAACTTGGGCATTTTCGATTTGTTCACTATTCTTCTTCTATTATTCTCCTGAAGAAGAATAGTGAACTAATCGAAAGCACTCAAGTTTTGGGTCTTGTTTGAAAACCATTACAACTTTTGTATGTACAAAACTTCTTAATCAGAATTTACAATTTACATGATATGTTCACCATATATCCTGTACGTGGACAGCTAATCCACTCTAAGGATTATCTTCTTATATATATTCCCACAATTAAGTATTTATGTTTTGCAGCTGAGCATATGTAGACATCACGTGTTTACAAAACTTTATGTATCTCTCTTCAAAGAATAATTCAACAATAAAGACATTGTACATTATGCAGGATTAAGCTAAGTGTCAGTCATTATTATATAACTGACTGTTGATATGACATCACATAGTTTGCCTTATACTAGTGGCTTATGCTGTTGAAGAGAAGGTTGCTCATAAGGTAAGCAGTAAGTGGTTATACAAGTGGTAATACATGCAATTTATTATGTGACTGATGTATGATAGTGATAATGAACGATGTGTATGGATTATTATTTGCCAACAAAAGCCTAATTTGAAGTAACAAATAATTCAAATTTAGTTTAAGTTACATTAAGGAAGGGGATAAGCAACATTGTAAAGGATTTCTCAATAATCACTGAGTTTGTTACTCATCAAGTACTCATTTAGTTGTAAAGGATTTGTCAATAATAACTGAGTTTGTTACTTTTCAACTAATCATTTTACAAATTATTAAAGTTCAGTCAAGTTTATATCCTGTAAAGCAACTGTAAATGAAAATATGATTTTTTTTTCATATAGATTTTTTTTCTAAGATACCTTGAGGAATTAGTTATATTGTTCAATGAAAACAGTAACTACACTTCTTTTTTGAAAACCTAGTCCTTAATATTTCAGTTATTTTTATATGATTCATATGAAAAAGAAAACTTCAGGTTTATTTTTTAATCTTTTTTATACATGTTTTTTATTTCTCTCAAATAACAGGCAAAGTTTGGGCCAGCATTGGATGATGATCGTTTTTTTTTTTGTTACATCATTGGTGTTAGCAAAGATATGTTAACCCGGTGTTGGTTAATACTGTGTAAAAGACTATTGGGTAGCTGAAAACCTAAATAGCAAACAAGGGTTAGGCCAATGTTAGCCCAACATGGTCAGTTGTATTGGCCCATGATTAGCAAACAAAGTTGACCCAAATGCAATTTGCACATTGGTTCTTAGTTGTGCCACCATAAGCATCCACTTTTTTTTACTATTGGACCAATAAATTAAAGAATACATGATTCAAATATCAGCTTATTATTTAATATTAGATTACCAATCATATAAAAAGGTATGTAGTTCTACAGATGGAAAGAGTTGTATTAAAAATGCCTTTTTATCTCTTCTTCTTATTCAAATGACATTTGAGTATAAAACGAAAGAAACAGAACTTAGAAAAATTATTGTCAGAGTTTGCAATGGCAGAATATATCTACTAGCTGTTTTCAACTATTATCTAGATTGCAATTAATCAACCTTCTCGGTTACAGTTTATTGTTGAGGTCACTGTTACAAACCACTCCAGTGCCTTTTTCAGAGGACATGCATATTTCAGCATTTAAAGTAATAAATTTGTACTGCAATCGACTTGTAATGCATTTGTAAATTTTTGTATGCTAAACTAACAGATTGACTGAGGTTCACATGTCGTCTGTAGAAGCAGATAATGTATGAGTTTAAAATATGATGACTTGAGATCTTATATTGTCTGCAGATGTGGGTTGGCCCTATGGTAGAGCTCTGTATTTAGTAGTTATCTAGCAGGTTGGAATTCGTGCAATATAACAAAATATTCCCACCAGTCTGGGAGTACTTGTAAGTGTGTTATAAGAAGTACAGTAAAATCACACTATTCAATCTGACAGAAGTAGCCATTGAGTATCATCTTTCAAAATTTAACACAAAAAAAATACTGGGAAATATTGTATTTACATTTTATCAAATGGCAGAATTTCCTAAATGTTTAGCAGATCATTCAATACCAAACAAAATGGACCATATGTTGGTCTAACAGTTAAAAAGGTGGTTGCTTATGTTGGACTAACCTTGGTCTTTTAATCTGGGTAACTTATAATATTAAATGTTGCAGTATTGTTAGCATCATATTGGTTATAGATATTTAGCTAATATTCTGTCAACATTGGGCTGATGAGCAAAATGATGTTGGTTTAATGTAATGGTACACGTGGCCCAACATCTTCTTGCTATTTGGATTGCTTGGAGTTACTTAAGACAATTATTGTAGATAATCTTACAAGTGTAATTTACTTTCATTGTATATTTAGTAGTGCTGCATTTAATAGACAATATTTTACAAGTTAAATACCATGTTTTATTTTTCCTTCCCTACTTGTAAATTATTTGCTTCTTTTATGGAGTCTTGTATGGAGTCATGTTGCTGCTATGTAATTTTTAAATGTCCTATTAACCTGTCCTGCAGGTGGCTTGTAACAAGTGTCTCACTCAGAAGTCCCCATTACCATATGATAATAATAAAACGGGTCGAGTATGTGGCCAGTGCTATGATACCCTTTCTCAGAGGTTGCAAGAAAAGATGGAACAGACAAGTGGAAACCAGAAAGAAAATATTGAAAGCCCTGTTGAAAGGAAGGGAATTCTAGAGGTAAATGTCACTTAAACTAAAAGACACTCATATTTTTTATGTATAGTTTAGCAGATACGTTTTACCTTGAGATAACACAATAGTATTGCCAAATTCACTTGAATAAGAACTGTAACTTAACAGTATACATTATTGAAGTTTTATTTTAAAGAAAAAAATTTAACACTCCCTACAAATTTAAAACTTGAACTTTCAATTTCAAATGGTTCTGTTTACATTTTTAAATATCTATTTTCCTCCAGTAATTTAGAAATCAAGAACTTAAAACTTCAGATAAGTTATCTGAGTGGTTCACGTTTCAAGCTGCTTTTGCTAGTCTTCATGATTTTGGTTGATCATTTATTTCTTAAAACTGGTATATTATTTAATGAAAAATGAAAACAGCTATTATTCTGTAAATACTTACAGTACAAATTTTGACAAAGTGAAATTTGAGATACTCATTTGAAGATTTAAACTTAATTCCTTGCTTGCCAAGAAGATAAATGTACTGACCATAAGGCACTATAATTTTAAAGTGCCTAATGCTTCAGTATTAATCTAATTTACATTTGTTTGAAACTATGTTCCATCATATTATTTTGTAAATCTCTTAGTACCTCTAAGAAAAAAAACAATTTTGGATTGTTGTGATAAAGATAACACTCATAATATCATGAAAGTTTCATAATAAAATCTTAAGATATGTTGAAAAACTCTAAATATATATATATATATATATATTTCATACTCTAATTCTCAGTGACAAGTGTGGGTGGAGGTGAACCTATCTTTAGATATTGTATGAGAAAGTTCTTCTAAGTTTTCAGTATGAGTGTTCTTCCAATAAAATCATTGGAAACATACTTGGAAAGAATCATACTTACAAGCACTTGTATCTTTTATTTAATTATTTCACATTGCTTCTCCAATTCTTTGGGGTATGTTTTCAGATGACAATATCCTATTAAACAATAAATACAGATGTCCCTTAGCCTAAAGTATTTTAAACAGTTTATTAATACAATTTAAAATTATACTAAAAGATAATAGCTAAACTACCCTTGATGGTACTGCATGAAGCCTTTTGATTTTCTTAATTTTCTTTAAGTTTCTTTTTTAATGAATTGTTGTTTTTTATAACATAACATACAAACATCTTTGATAAGATAATATTTGTCCATTAAAGGACTTAACAGTAACCAAAGTGAAAACTTTATGTTTCATGAATTTAAAAAATAATTGTTAAACCATGTAGGTAATAAACTATTGAAATTTTTCTTTTGCAAGCATGTGTATATATAAACAAACGAGATAATTTTATATGTACTTGTGTGTTATATTTCATGTAAAATGGTTTGTAATATTTTGTACGTGCCTGTAAAAAAGCTATACATATGTTAAGATTATTTAATCTTTTCCTTCTTTAGGTTAAACCATCAGATTCATCGGTTATAAGTAGCTATCTCCAGCTGAAGTCTAGGAGCCGAATGTGGGTATGGAGATGGTTCTCACTACATGAAGATTTTGTGTTGTATTCTTTTCGGTCACATGAGGTGAGAAGTAGTATTCTGTCTGTAGTTTCCCAGAACAATTATATTTTTAAAAAAAATTTATTCCACCAAGTTGAACTAATACAAAATTTCAGTTAAATGGTAGTAAATTTATTGACACTTAAACTCTAATAACTTTTGTTTTTACATAAAATTCATTTAAGGAAATCACTGTTTCCCCAAAGATATTCATTATGGTGCGATATTTACAAATATTTATTTTGGCAAAAATAGAACACAGTTGAAATAGCAAAAACAAATTGTGTGATAAGTATTGATGGTTTTGATGTATTGCCCTTTATTTGTTAAAAGAACACAAGAAAGAAACATTGCGACTTGAAAAAAATCACAATACATAGCCTTCAAAGTTTAAAAACGAAAATGTCCAGAATAGAAATAAAGTCAATGAATGACTAAATCTGAAACGAAGACCTAATAATCTTCAAAATTTAATTATTTTAAAAGAGAATTCCTATTTCTGAATTTCTTTCTTTTCTAGAGAAGTGTATTAAATCGAAAGTTGCTGACATTCTAAAAACGAATCATGGGATAAATATTGGGAATTTTTGATGAAAAGAGTTTCATTTTGAAAAGTGTACATCAAGTGCATCTTCCTACACCAATAATACGAAAATATAACTTGGTAGCTTTGTGAAAAATATGATTATTTCGTTAAGAATTACTTATTTTAAATTATGGATGAAATTTCTATATATTAGAAAAACATGAGAAAGAAACATTGTGACTTGAGAAAATCTGAATATATAGCTTTCAAAGTTTAAACACGAAAATGCCAGAACAGAAATAAAGTCAATATACAACTAAATCTGAAACGAAGACCTAATAATCTTCAAAATTTAAGAATTTTAAAAGAGAATTTCTATTCCTGAATCTCTTTCTTTTCTGGAGAAGTGTATTAAATTGAAAGTAGATGACATTCTAAAAATGAATCGTGCGATAAGTATTAGGAATTTTTGATT